GTAATATATATATAGTATATATATATATATATTATATACACATAATTCAAGCTCAGATCTATTCAGCTCCAATCAGGATAAAAGGATAATATGAAAAACAAAGGGAATGCAAGCCTGCCTGAGCTTGATGCTACTCATCATTGACCTTCATAGGTTGAAGTTGTTCAGTAAACCTCTAGTGGAAAACTTTTACATTTATGTTTGAATGGAAAGGTTCTGAAAAAGATGAGAATGAGCTGGAGACTGGGCTTCACATAGTTGTTGCTGATGGTGGGGTTGGGCTGCAAGTGTTTGATGCTGGTGTTGTTGGTTCTCAGGAAGCTGCTGGGTCCCAGAGCTTGGTGCTGTTGATTGATTCTTGTTGGAACTGTAATTGTTTAAATGGCGAGAGGAGCATTTATGTCTCTTCAAATCTCTTTCTTCAATAAATCTTTTTCCACAAATGGAACACGTAAAAGGCTTTTCCCCGCTGTGCATTTTAAAGTGCCGAGTCAACTTATCTCTGCGATAGAATGCCTTACCACAGGCTAAACATATATAAGGCTTCTCACCTGTGTGAATACGTCTGTGCCGAGACAGCTTGTCCTTCCTGTAGAAACCTCGTCCACAAAAGTCACAAGGGTAGGGACGTTCTCCTGTGTGGATCATGGAGTGACGAGTTAGGTGATTCTTCTGAGAAAAGCTCTTTCCGCAAACATCGCAGTGGAATGGTTTGTCCCCAGTGTGGGTCCGCATATGGTCCATTAATTTACATCGGTAACTAAAACCGCTGCCACAAATTTCACAGGAACACGACTTTTCTCCATGAGCTGAACGCATGTGAACTCGAACTCTTTCTGCTGAAACAAACAACTTACCACAGACTTCACAAGGAACTGTTCTCTCACCTTTGGTGTGATGGGAGAGATGGGCCTGAAGTTCGTAGGCTGTCTTGAAAGGGACTTTACATGCTGGACAGGGCCAAAGCCTGTCTTTCACATCTTCCTGTTTCTCTACAGTAGCAACTATTGCTGCTGCCTGAGCTGCTGCAGCAGAAACCATTTTGGTTGGATCTACTCCAGGAAAAGCAGAAGTTGTAGAAATACCAGTAGCAGCAACGAGTAAGTTTCGACTACTTGTGCCATAATCATTATTACCCAAAAATGTGTGTGTTTTAACACTTGAAGTACGGTTTCCACTATTAGAAGTCTTTGGCTTCTGAACATCATCTTGTGGTTGTAATGGTGTAGTTGAAGTGGTTGTGGTTCCAGTGTTGGGGTGAAAATTCGACAGATGTGAACGAGGGTCAAAACCTAGAAAGAAATAATGGAATGGTTTAAGAGGAATGTTTAGTGCAGTACAGCAGTTTTTGTTTTTTTCTATAAAGACTATAAAAGCAAAAAAAAATAAAAAATGGCAAAACATTTCTGACATTCAAACACATACATTAGTTTTCTTCAATTTGAGACAAGACTGACTACAATTCAAATATTTTTTTAATTAAAATGTACAAGTTAATTCAAAGAAAAAAATGTTTTTAATATTTCAAATCAAGGTGCAAGTCCTTTTTTTCCCCTTCTCTCATGAAGGAATAGCATCCCATCCTATCTACTCAGAATACTCACACAATTATTTAGACAACTGTTGTAACTCTACTATAATGTAAATTTAGTTACAAATAAAGGATATCCAAATCCCTAAATAAATTACAAAAAATAACATTTTGTTCAAGTGTGCCTCATTTTATGTTTATTCATTATTACTAACAGACTGAGTAATTGTACAAATTAAATTATGTTTTTACATCTATTATGACTGCGAGTACCAATTATTTCAATACTAGCAAAAGTACCCAGCTTTGCTTGGGTTATTAGGTTGTTATATTTTAGATGACTATGTCAGTGTGTGTATTCTGAACCTATTCTAGCATAGAAGAACAGTCAAAACTATTTTTAAAATATTTTTATTTCCCAGAAACATAAAAAAGTTGTAAAGGTACAATAATAATAAAATTATTTCGACTAAAGGTGTTTATGTTATAATCTAGCTTGTCAATATGTGAAGTTTGAGTTTTAGTTGGTTAAGTACTGTTGACATTGTATGGTATAAGTAATAAAATGTAAATTGAACAACCTACAGTGCAAATGTGTGATGTGACAAACAAGAGTGAGTATTGAGCAATTGTTTTTAACATTTTGTTTGGAAATAAGAAATTAAATTTTACATAATATTAAAATTTGATTTATTAACTATATTTTGATTCTAAGTTTACTGGTATACATTGATAAAAAAATAGTTTGATTAAATTTTGAATGCAAGTCTATAAAAAAGTCATTATGTACATTTTGGACCCCATCCATGCACATACGGTTAAGTTTTATCTCAGGTATTCCTTGAATGAATTTTTTTTTTTTCTAAAAATAATAATGAAAGGCAGATAGCCTTTAATATGTGAAAAATATGAATTGGAATGAAAAACAAAATAATATCTAACTGAACATAGTAAAAAAAAAGCTAGGAAACAAATCATTCTTAGTCACATGCATGACAAAACAGTGCAAAAAATACTGACCTTGTCTGATGTATGGGTGACTATCTTTGTATTCTGAGAGGGTTGAGGGGATTACACTACTCATCAGTAATTGTTCTGTGCATGCTTAAAAAACACAATACAGTGTGTACTGTCAAATTCGACTTTTGCCCTTAATGTTAATCAGGATAAAAAAATATCAGGTTTAGCTATTAGAATATCTTCCTACACCATCTGGACATATCTGAACTCACATAAAACTGCTGCTTAACCCTTGAATATGCATCTAAATGCTTGACATTGAGAGCTTTGCCATAATTAAACATCCATCTTCCTAAACTAAACTATATATATCTGAACTTACACAAACCTTGCTGCTTAACCCTTTAACAAAAAGAGGATGCCAAAATCAAAGCATTTGAGGCTTTGCTATAATTAAACATTCATCTTCCAAAACTAAACTATATGTGTGCATGTGTGTGTACATATATATATATAATCTGAATTCACACAAAACCTGCTACTTAACCTTCTAACACTTACCTAAATGCTAGGCACTTAGAGCTTTGTCATAATTAACTCTCCATATATGAGCTCAGTCACCTTACAACCACCATGTAACCATGAAGCTATACATACTATAACTTTTAATGCATTAAGTGATTCATGAAATTTGGCAAGCTTTTAATAAGCATTACAAGTCTTCTGTAAACAATCAGATATTTTTTTTTTAATATTTTTACTAAAGATCCATCTTTGAATTTATGGACTTATAGTCTTGTTCATACTCTGACAAAACTGAGTGCAAGATGATTTTCATATTTCATGCATGCATACATTGCTGAGGATTTTTTTCATTTATGTTTTCTTATCTGATCTAACAAGTTTCTAATTTTTACATTTTAGTTACTTTATAACAATAAATAAAAAAATATACATAAAAAACAAGAAATTCAATATTTACATGTAGGTAATGTACTTTATGCAGTCAAAGTTTTGATAAAAGTTAATCCCAACTTTTGGTATGGTTAATGTTAGTACTGTACATAATTTTTATTTATTTTGAATATTCAATTAAGGACACAAAATAATAGGCACAAATAATACATTGTCCGATAACTATTATAATTTAAATGGCTTTCTATCTAAGTTATCAGTATGTTAAAATATTTCCTTTGCTTGATCAAGGTCATCTCAGCAATAGCAAATAATTCAAAAGCTGTCATCAGAATGAGCTAGTCTATTACATGATATAGTAAATTAAAATCTTTTTCTATTGGTTATAAATAATCTATTAGCAAATGTGAGAGAGAATTAGCATTTTATGAAAGAAGGTATGTAATGGAAGAGCAGAGCATGTGGATCTGACTTTCTGGTTTATATCTCTGTAAATCAAGATGATTGTAATCTATAAAATTAGATTATGCCTTAGCAATATCTATAATTTTGTAATTTGTATTAAACTAAGATGCTCAAATATGGACAGGTTATCTAAACTGGGCAATTTGACAAATGCTTTTCCATTGTTCGTAATGTCTTTTATAATACTGCTTATGATTCCAAGATTTTCTGTGAAATTATATAAACCAAATCAACTACTTCAATAGAAGAATTTTTTAAAACCACAATGAGAACTAAGAAGCTGAGTTGGAAAATATTCCAGCCCTATACAGTTTATTACCAAGAGTACTGTCCTTAGAGTAGAAGACTTTTAGATTACAACATATCAACAAACATCAAATACCACAAAACTTGAGCTTTAGTGAAAATTACTGAAAAACATTTTTTTTTTCAAGTGACCATGAGAAGCATACGATAAAAACATCTTTTATAAAGTAGTACAATTTAGCAAAATAATGAAGAGCTCAAATAGTCTTAATCAACAACCATGATAAAGAAAGACAGGAATTAAAATAGGATTTTTAAAGTGGGTCTCAAGTTCCTTCCTCTTAGAAGTGCAACATTTTACAAACTGAGAGAAGTTAACATTTTCCTATACCAAAAATGTTTTTCTGATAATACTCATCTACTCTCACACTACAGTTATATTCCAACAAAAGTTACTCTTCTCTGCCCATTTAAACATTGGTAAAGTCTTACCTAGCTTATACCCACAATATTGCCCACAGCAAGTTAAATCTAATGATTCTCTCCACCTACATCAATGTACCTCCTATCTCAGATCGATATATAAGCTCCCCATTATTACTTCCTATTCACTCTTTTGAGTAGCAGAACCAAACACCAGCCATTGTGTGGAAGAAGGGTGGGAGTGTGAGGGAAGGTATGTATTCTTGGAAATACATTTTCGATATCGGAAAATATTAACTTCTGAAACACACCTCATCGATAAGGTGAAGGGGCTGGTGAGGGCAAGATCCACACAAAGAGCATCTACATTGAAAAGAGGTGTGTGTGAAAATGAGATATAGTAATAGCACACTAGTGGGGTCCACACTACTTCTGGAACAGGTATGCTCTTCATCCGGACAACATGAAATCTAATATCTGAGCAGTAAAAGTTGAACAGCCAGAGAGGTAAAACCCTAACATCCTGAGAAGAAAACATGAATTTGAAGAAATAGATGTTACCTGGTCTGAGATTACGAACAGAAATCCTAACTCCCCAAACTGAGAGGCACAGCAACACCTCCTGCTCCCAGAATTACTAGGAGGATGTGGAACAAACTAAGTCCAACCAATGGCACAGAATTGATGCTCCAAGTGAAGAATTACGAGGAGTTGAGAACCCTCTTCCATAATCATCGAAATGAAAATAATGACCAAAAAGAAGGGCCACGCTCAACTCAACCAGATAGTAAGCGTCATCTCTGAACCAGAATTGCAAGGAGGGTCCACGTAGGATGGTTCTGTTCACTCAATAAATCTGGAAAAATGATCCAGGGTTGTTGGTAGGAGAGCACCCAGCTTCACCCTCTTCTCCATGAGAGGAATAATGAGTTCAAGCATCATTCAAGAGGAACAGACCTCTGCCCACCTCTCCAGCAACTGGAAACTGGGAGTGGTAAGGACTCCCATGCTCCACTAGGAGAAATGGGGGGGGGGGGATAACTCATAATGAGGAGTCCCAAAGAACGATGCCCTGGAGATAGTGCAATAGGTGAATCACGTTCCCTATTTTCAAAAGCAAACCAACCACAATTTATTCAATCCAAAGGTCAGCAGGGATGGGCAAAATCCCCTTATGCTTTACTCATGATAGTCCATGAGCAGTTCAATAGCGTATATAATTGTTTACCATCTGGAAAGCCGCAAGGTGGTCTTATGGAACACCCCATCTCAACAGAGCTCATTGCTACCAGGAAAATGTTTTATCAGTCTACTGGTAGCTAGTGCGGATTTGGAAGGAAGCATACCTGAGTGGGATCCAAATGAAATGATGAAAGGGTTCCTGAAAAAGAATAGAAAGAAACACAAAAGAAATGAAGTCACTCACCTCTCTCACAATCTAGCCGAGGAGTGGAGAATAGCCACAAGGGATAGCCAAATCATGTAAATAATGAGATATAAATGTATTAGGCATGTTCCACATACCAGACTATACAATTTCTTCCATCAAGCAATGCAACCGAGCCACCATGGACATTGAGAAATAGCGATGAGACCCAAAGCTCCTCCAATGAAAGCCAGAGTAAGTAATACGAACCAACTTATGAGCCCAACCTGTCACAGTGACAGGGGATAAGTCACATGACACAGTAGGATCACAATGGAGAAACAAACAGTGACATGAACCCTGAAACTCTCCAGTGCACGCAATATAACAGAGAGCCCAAACCGGGCATAAAAGATGATCCAGATCAGAGTTGTCACAAAAATGAGAAATGGAGAGAAGATGAATAGGAAAGAAAGTCTTATCCCCTTCTCTTGCTGCTGAAGTTTTGAGTAGAAAGGACCTATCTGTTATCTGGATATAACAAAAATAAGTGGAATGGTAAAAAGACCTGTGAACATGAATCACAAACACATCTGAATGTCGATGTCCACTAGCCAACAATAGAAGAAAACAAGTCTTAAGAGAAAGGTGATATAGGGAACATGATGCCAAAGGTTCAAAGGGTGAATGGGATAAACTGTGGAGAACCACTGTAAGATCTCAAATAGGAGCCTGGAAAGAATGTCAAGGATAGATAACCCAAAAAGATTTGAGAAGGAAAAGACTGGGGACTCAAAAACTTTATGTCTCCTAGAAAAACAAAAAGTAGCTGATAAAGTTGCCTTATACAAAGAAATGGATGAAGGCACCAAACCTTTGTCCAATACCCATGTCAGAAATTCAGAAACATGCAGCACAGTGGGACGAGAAGGACTAAAACCATGTTTCAGAGACCACTGACAACAAGTAAACATCCAAATTAGAATACCGAATGGACCGCATTAATAAAGATGCCACCTGAGAAGTCAGTCCCTGGCATCATGCAACAGATCACATAAAAGCCAGGCATGTAGTCTAAGAATGGTGATTGCAGGATGAAAAATGTCCAACTGAGGCTAATGTGGATACAGAAGAGGTTGGCACTACTAAAGATACTAAAGGAGTGGAAACCAAGGTTGAGCCAGCCAATGTGGCACCACCACAAGAACTTGACATGATGAGGAGCGAATCAGTGCAAGAACTTTGGATAACAGATGAGTTGGAGGGAATGCTTTACGACAAAGACCTGCCCAATCCTGGCTGAGAGCATCTATGCCTACAGCCAGAGGGTGAGGTACAGGAGACCAGAAGGATGGGAGTTAAGCATTCCAGCATTAATCTGAAGTGTCCCAAGGGGAGAGCAGATCCAACTAAAAACTTGTGGATGAAGCATCCATTCCATGGGAAGAACTCTTTTGGGATGAAATAACTGATTGGTCACCAAGTTCATTACACATGAGACATGACAATAAGGAGAATAATCTGATGATTGTGGGTCCACTGTAGAAATGTCCAAGTGAAGCATTACCACCTTCCCTCGTAACAATGTGAGACCCAAAGACATAACTCGTTGAACTACTAAAAGCTCTGAGAGATCGATGTGGAGATTCCTCTTCTGTCCAGAGGCCTTTGAATTCCATATCCCCTATACAGGCGTCCCAGCCCTTTTGTTTGGTGTATGCAGGACATG